TATATATATATATATAATAACAAAACAGAAAAGTTTTCTTTTTCAATTTTCTTCATTTGCTATAAGATTTTGAAGAATTTTCCGATTATAATTAATTTAAATTTTTTCCATTTAACGCATTTAAATTAATTTTCACTTTTATTATAAAAAATAATTAAATGAAACTTAACTAGTACGTAGAAGAAAAGTTGAATTGTTCATTCATCCACACTTTTCAGAGTTTTAATCTATTTTTCTTTTTTTTTTTTGAGCGACCAGTGAATGCTCGAGAGTGGAGTGCGGTTCTTGTCGAAGGTATAAAAACCCTTTGGTTGTATCAAACTGCATGGAAACTATAAAAGCTCCTGGCAGTCGCTGCACGTATACGCAGTATTCCCTCTGGTAGCTAGCGATGACGGATTCATGGCCCGTGGGATAACGCAAGACCTCACCCCAAGATGTTTCGGTTTACGGATGCACGCTCTTCCTTGCTTTTTCTTCCTATTTCTCACCTTTTTTTCTTCTATCCACTGAGCGATTCATTTGTCGGTCTTTGATCCGTAACCAACAAGCTACTACCGGAAAATTAGCCAAATTTATTTAGTTGCTTTCCTTATCTCGCTATCTGTCATTTTATTCTTCTTATTTCTAATGCTACCTGTCATTTCGTCTCCTATTTATAATAGAATTTCATTCATTTCATAACGTTTGGATGATCAAACAAAAAGGTGAAAAATGTATTTCGTTCAAAGTCCACCAATTTACTTATTTTTTTTTCTTTCAAACAGAATTTAATAATTAAGAATGATAACATATTGAACATGAATATTGAATATTGGAAAGCTATAATTTTTTTTCTAGATATATGTATCTCTTTTAATATCCATTTCTTATAAGTTTTATTCATTTAAGAAATATTTTTTATTTTTTTTTTTTTTTTTTTTAGGCAAATTGATAATTAAATTTATCAAACATCATGAATCATCGTCATAATCGTAATTGAATTCATCAATCATCAATTGGAATACGATTATCAGAGAAGACCGATTTCTTCATATCAGTTTGAAAAACGAATCTGCAACGACGAGATTAATTCCAGAAGTGGAGAAAAATGCCACCAGCAACGCAGTGTCACCTAACCCTGCCAGGGGTTAACTTCTATAGAGCTAGTACCTACGAGGAAGATGAAAGAATAAGCGAAGGATAGGCCGACGGCCGCTTTTTATTACCGGCGCCGTCACGCGTCACCGATAAGCGCGGTCTTTCTGTAGCCGAAAAGTCTATGCTTGCACCGGTTCTTCCGAAACACCGAGATTTCTTCTTTTCTTCTTTACTTTTGCTCTTCGTATCCCCAGTTAAAAGAAAGTTCTATTTCTTTTACGAACGCGCGCTAAGAATCTTAAAACTTTGTCCAACTATCCTACAAGAACATGTTAAAAGTATAATAATTATGTCTATTTTTATCTATTTTATTTATTATAAATTAGAAAAGAATATTCAAAATTGATTATTATTCCAATATAATTTAATATTAATATGAAATTGATTGATATATATTGTTTTGAATATTAATTTAAAGAGAAATAATTATTCTGCTTTTATTCTATTCTAAATTTTTATTTCTATCTTTTTCTTTGCAAAAAACATGCGCAGATTACGAACGACTTTGTTTTGTGAATGCACGAGGGAAGATGTTCACCAAGAGTCATTAAGGATATGCTATACTGTAATATGTTTACACAACGAGCTTCTTCGCGTCGCCATCAATCATGGTGCACGTCGGTCTATCCGTTTTTCTACGCTTAGGAACCGACAAACTGCTACCTCGCTTTGTTGGCATTAGTTTGTCATTTCTAGCAATCTTGATGTCAAAATTATGCACCACGTTCATTTAATGAACGTTTACCAAAATCATTTCGAGCAGCCATTTGATAAACTTCTTTGACAAATTTTGAATTCAAAAAAAAAAAAAAGGATAGTTTATGTATATAGAAGAGAATCACAAGAGAGGGTATTTTTAAGAGATTGTGAAATAATTATGTGAAAAAATTATGCATCACAATTTAATGAACGTTTACCAAAATCATTTTGAGCAGCCATTTGATAAACTTCTTTGACAAATTTTGAATTCAAAAAAAAAAAAAGGATAGTTTATGTATATAGAAGAGAATCACAAGAGAGGGTATTTTTAAGAGATTGTGAAATAATTATGTGAAAAAATTATGCACCACAATTTAATGAACGTTTACCAAAATCATTTTGAGCAGCCATTTGGTAAACTTCTTTGACAAATTTTGAATTCAAAAAAAAAAAAAAAAAAGAAAGAACAGTTTAAGAAAAAGGAGTTATGTATATAGAAGGGAATTACAAGAGAGGATATTCATAAGAGATTGTAAAATAATTATGTGAAAAAATTATGCATCATGTTCGTTTTGAGTTCAAAAAAAAAAAAAGAAAGGATAATTTAAGAAAAAGGATATATATAGAAGGGAATCACAAAAGAGGATATTTATAAGAGATTGTGAAATAATTATGTGAAAAAATTATGCACCACAATTTAATGAATATTTACAAAATCATTTCCAGCAGCCATTTGGTAAACTTCTTTGACAAATTTTGAATTCAAAAAAAAAAAGAAAGGATAATAAAAGGATTTAAAAAAAAGGAGTTATGTATATAGAAGGGAATTACAAGAGAGGATATTCATAAGAGATTGTAAAATAATTATGTGAAAAAATTATGTATCACGTTCATTTTGAGTTCAAAAAAAAAAAAAAAAGAAAGGATAATTTAAGAAAAAGGAGTTATGTATATAAAAGGGAATCACAAGAGAGGATATTCATAAGAGATTGTGAAATAATTAATTAAAAGCTCTGAATAGTTGGTATTAATATTTTTTTTTCTCATTTTCTTATATAAAGCTCTTATTTTTCTTTTTTTAAATATGTTGTTTAACATAAGCAAGGCAAAAAAGTTTCGAAACACAATGGTACATGATACTTGTCGAATAATTTATTAAGGCACTTAATAGCCGAGTTCTCTCATGGGTTGTCACGGTGCGTTTACTTTCCCGTCTTGGCTCGAGAGCGTTTTAAGCTCGTTTGGCATTTCAGACACCCTGTATAAATAGATGCACTTTGCTCCTACAAAAGGCACTTTCTTTTTCGACTGACTCGCTACGGACCTACGACACTAACCGATTTGTATCACGCAATTTTATCATCGTGAACGCCAGTCGATCTTTATTGTATATATATATATANTAAATCATTTGTATAATCATTTTTCTTAATCATAAATCTTATAAATATTCTAAATAATATGAATCGTCGAGTTTTATATAAGTATCTTTAAATAAATAGAGAGAGTTTACAACATCATATATAACAATTATTTACTCGGGGATCTTGAATCTCGAGAAATATAATAAACATATATTTCCATACAAACCTGATAAGACACTTACGTTACATACGTGTATAATTTAAATAACTCTATATCCTTAAGGCTAGTTTACATTATATCTTTGATACAAACATTCGAACGAATGTATCTTATTTATTTATTTCGTATATCTTATTTAAACGTAACTCGTTAAGTTAACTCGTATAAATTCATTCATTCTTCAGTGTAAAAACTTATCTTCTATCACCTGACACGTTATTATCACGTTACTTTGGTATCGACGAATCAACGAACGCTCCACTAATTTTCTCCAATTTTAATAACTTTTTGCTTCCTTCTTTCTTTCTTTCCCCTTCTTCTTCTCCTTCTTTCTTTTTCATCTTCGATTTAATAGATAATTATTTTTATCCACTACTCGAACTACGATCACAACGATTCACAAATTTCACCGTGTCATTCTCCGATTCTCAGGGAGGAAGGATGATCCGAATTACCGTGGCCCGTGGTACAATGACGGCCCAGGATGAGAATGATGAGGATAGTGGATGGAATTCATGTGCGCAGTCGGTTGCCCATGGTGTCCCGCGTATGGCCAAGGCCCGGCTGCGGTTGCTCCGTAAAATTGATGATGCTCTTGGCCCGATGATATGCTTGGAATTTGCACTGTGGGTATAGCGTTCACGTAGTTGGACGACAAAACGCTGCCACTTCCTGTCGCGGCCCTCTTCGCCGGATTCTGCATCCCCGGGACAACCGCGACCGGCTCGCACTCGTCCGACTCGCAATCCCGAAAACCTTTCGCGAACGGATTGCTCGCGATCTTCAGCTGCGTGATACGATGATTCTGATAAGCGGTGACGGCGGTGAATCGCGTCTCGGGAAAGGTGAACGTTTTGAAATTCTCGGTCCGTGGATCCGGGGCAGAGCCCGGTGGCGAGGGCGCCACCACTACGTGGCATCGTGGCTGATATCGATGCATCGAATTCAAGATTATCTGCAAACATTGATGAATCGAATTGAAACGAATTTATTAGTTAACCTAAAATTTTTTTCTTTCGCAAGAAATCATGCGATTATAACGATATGTGTATAATCGGGATAATAATAAAATAATAATAATAATAAATAATAATAAAAAGAGAAAAAGAGAAGAGGAAAAGGGAAAAGAGGAAAGAGACGAATTTATTAGTTACTAATTAACCTAAGATTTTCTCTATAGCGATATGTGTATAATCGGAATAATAATAAAAAAATAATAATAATAAGTAATAATAAAAAGAGAAAAAGAGAAGGGGAAAAGGAAAGAGAGGAGAGAGACGAATTTATTAATTACTAGTTAACCTAAGATTTTCTCTTTCGCAAGAAATCATGCGATTATAGCGATATATGTACAATCGAAATAATAATAAAAAAAAAATAATAATAAATAATAACAAAAAAAGAAAAAGAGAAAAGGAAAACAGGAAAGAGAAGAGAGACGAATTTATTAGTTATTAGTTAACCTAAGATTTTTCTCTCGCGAGAAATCATGCGATTATAGTGATATATGTACAATCGAAATAATAATAAAAAAAATAATAATAAGTAATAATAAAAAGAGAAAAAGAGAAAAGGAAAACAGGAAAGAGAAGAGAGACGAATTTATTAGTTATTAATTAACCTAAGATTTTTCTCTCTTTCGCGAGAAATCATGCGATTATAGTGATATATGTATAATCGCATATATAGTGATATATGTATAATAATAATAAAAAAAATAATAAATAATAATAATAATAATATAATAATAATAATAAAAGAAAAAGAGAAGAGAAAAGGAAGAGAGAGACGAATTTATTAGTTAACCTAAGATTTTCTCTTTCGCAAGAAATCATAATGCATGCGATTATAGCGATATATGTGTAATCGGGATAATAAAAGGAAGAGAAAAAGAGAAGAGGAAAGGGGGAAAGGGGGAAGAGGGCGAAAAAAGAGAGGAAAAAAAAAAAAGAAAGGCACACGTGAGGATCTTCCTTCTCTGAAAGAGGAAGGACTACCGCAGGGGGGCGGTCACAATGTTTGACAGCCACAAGAGACTCGGTGACTAATTAGTGTAAAAACTAACCCCCCCCGATTTTCTTCAGCAATCCGACACCCTCGTCCTTCCTCTTGCACACACTTACCGCGGCATATGCTAGGGCATGTGTTTCTTTGAATACACGGAAAAAGGAGTGCTGGATGGGAGGGGGGAGGGGGAGGCAGAAAGAGAGAAAGAAGAGTCATCCTCACGATGCGTACGGTGTGTGTGGCCTAACCTAAAATCTCTTTGGACGATTGCGATTTTTCCTCCTTTTTTTTTTTTGTTCTTTTTCCTCTTTCTTTTTTCTCTACTTTTTATTCATTAATATCATTCGATCACGTTTCATTTCTTAAATATTCTTAAATTTCATTATTCTTAAATATATATTTCTTTTTTCTTCTTATTAAAAAGCGATAACATTCGAACAGTTATGTTCATTCGCTTTGAAAATACGAAACCGCCAATTAAGAGAGTGAAATCGTTAAGCGTTTCAACGCTGAATTCCAATTTTTTTTTTTTTTTTTATAAAACCCGGTGGTACGCGTTTTCGAGCGCAATTAAGGGAACAAACTGTTCCATAGCGCGTGAAAGAAGGGATCCCTCTTTCCTCTACGAGTCAAAATTTTTTCCGCGCGGAAAGCAATAAATTTTCGTGTGGAACGCGAGTTACAAAGCTTTTCGTATTTTGACAGTGCGCGGTGTTCACAAAATAAAATCCATCCGATCAAAACAATCTCGTGTTTATCTCGTATTTATCTTCTTTTGTCGAATAATTTATGTGTGAAATTTCTATTTTTTTTTTTTTTTTTTTTTCTATAAGAATTATTAAACTCTAAGTAAATAGTATAAATCGAATTTTCGAATAAATCTGTTCGTTAAAATTTATCGATTTATTGATTCGCGTTTAGAATAATCCACGATGTCACCACATGCTCGTGTAAATTTTGAAATAAATGTATCATGATCAAGAGCAACCAAATTGATATCAATCCCGAGAGGATAAATCGCGACATCTCGTTCAACAACGAGAATCGAACCGTTTTGTGCACCGTCCTTTCACCGATCAACAACTTGACTGAATCGATCGATGATGAATTCATTAATCAGCATGCCAATACCGATTCACCGCACGCCGAATCATTTTACTTGCAACGCTTGCCTGACACGTATGAATTTGGCACGAATACATAGGAACGATTATTTTTGGCGCAGCACTGCAGGTGCATTAGGACACAATGAAGAGGAACGAGGGTTAAGAAGAAGAGTCTTCCCCGAGTCTTGATGTTACAGCGTAAAAAAAAAAAAGAATAATAAGAAAAATTTATTTTTCATTTTTCCATACTCTGCGTATATCTATCTATTCTGTAACGTACGAGTAAATTTTTCATTCGAAATAATTCGATTCGATTCGATGAATAATATAAATTTAATTACCGATAAAAACTTTTAAAACGTACGAAAAATTACGATGACGAGTTTCAAATTTTTCTATTCGAAATAATTCGATTCGATTCGATAAATGATATAAAAAATATAATTTTTGAAAACGCACGAGTAAATTTTTCCATTCGAAATAATCCGATTCGATTCGATGAATAGAATTATATAAATTTAATTACCGATAAAAAACGTAACTTTTGAAACGTACGAGAAACTACGATTTTCAAATTTTTCTATTGGAAATAATTCGACTCGATTCGATGAATAATATAAATTTGGTTACCGATAAAAAAAACTTTACAAAGTTTTACATTTTCCCGTATGGCGTATTTATAAATTTCCCGTGGTATCGCGGAGTGAAAAATTCTTCCACGCTGGCAATCCTTTTCGAAAGTCGTAAACACGTCGAAATCGTTTCGCCGTCTTTTTCCCAGGCTTCTACGAGGTTTAGTTTATATTACATATGTTTACGTTACTTTACGGTGCGGTACAGTTTCCATTGGCGTTCTTCGTGGCGACAGGAGAACAGGATTAATAAGGCGCGGACAAGAGAAGATCTAAAGAGTATACAAAGTGAGAGGTGTGCTCGGTGTAGAAATACGACTAAAGCTAATGATAGACTTCTGATATTAGCGATCGCAACTTTAAACAGTCTACCAGTGCACGCAGGTACGTGGGAATCAATGAAACAACCGATTTGTCGAATCGCCTTCCCGCCTTGATCGTGATTTTATTCCTGAAATTATATCCATTTATCACGGAAAGGATTCTGAAAGAAGTACGGAGTCAATGACTCGTTGGCCACGCGATAATGTTCCATCTGCCAACAAGGCATAAATCTGAGGAACGTGTTAAAACAATTATTGCTACTAATTACTCGTAAGACTATAATAGCTTCTAATGGAACCATATCTCATTGTCGTACTTTGTAACCGGTATATCCATTCAACATTAATTTTTTTTAACTTCGTTCAAAAACGTTCATTCGATCGCGAATACTTTTTTTCCTCGCTCGATTCGAACGTGTTCGAAAAAAACTGCGTATATATATATATATATATATATATATATAT